ATATATATATATATATATATACCTTACAAGTCAGTTTTATACCTTACAAGTCAGTTTTGTGAGATTAAGTTAGTTTTAAAATTCACTTCTTAAAAAACATCAAAGTAATTAATTAATCAACAAGTAGTGAAATAAGAAACACTTCATGCAAAACACTTAAATATCATCTAAACACCAACGAATAGACAAAACTGACTAATATGTTGTACGAAAAGAAAACAGTGATATCCAATTTTTCACCGTCAACAATTAGACAAAATAATTAGTTTATAGTTCATCTAAATCCAATTTGTTTCAAATTTCACTGACATTGAATTGTTTCTTAAAAACCGTCAAGTCTTAGGAATTGTGTTTTCCACATTCGTGTAGATTGTTATATAAATCCAGTTTTAAATCGTAGACAAATGAAAAATTAAATATGGCAGTTAGTAAGTAGTGGTTGAGGGAGTTAAGAGGAGTTTCATAGTAGTTAGGGGTAGTTTTTGTTTAGTAGTTGACGATTTTCTTTGCTTTTCATTTATGTTTTTTAAAGAGGTGGGTGTATATTTTGGTAGTTGTGGAATGTTTTGTTACAAAAACTTGTCCTGTGTAAGAGAATGTTTTTCTTTGATTGTTGTTAATTACTTTTCGTTTACTTCCATTCAATAAAACTGTTTCCTTATAGTAAGAATTCATAAATCAGTTGTGATTATTTGTTTTGAGATAGTATCTAGGTTTCTTGAGACCAAGAAACCTAACACAAACTGACTTAAATACTCCAATCTCTTTTGAGTGCAGTGCCCTACCAACAGAAAAATCCTCTGCCACTTTGGAATAATATAATCAGGGAAATCCAAATATGAACTTGCACAACTACGAGAAATAGACAACCTATCATAATCACTATATTCCAAATTTGAGTTCTACTATGTAAATTCCACAGGCTTGATTGATAAGAATATGTTGTACAATGTTGTCTACCACTCAAATCGAACCCCAAAACATTCATCCAAAAAGAAAAGGATCGGATCAGCTAGTCATTGATGTCAGACAATACATGCAACTGTATGAACACGTGTTTAAAACCTCATGCCTGATTAAACTGTGCCACCAATATTTTCTAAATAATTGGCGGCAGTAAATTCCATACAGTGCCTGAAATCCCTTGGTTGAGGACGTATAATGGCTTTCATGATCTACCGTTTAGACTTTGATTTAGTCAGACCTTCAATAAGTCTGTACATCCAACGGTCAAGCATTCCTGTCGTTATAAATAAGCTTTTAGACAAGAACGTGAGTCAAAGAAACAGAGTAGACTGCGGCAGGAAGAATTTGAGCGGATAAAGACTCCAGAAAACTAACATATGATATCAGAACTAATTTTTGAAAATCTTATAATTTTGTAATCCTTTTGATGAAATCATATCAACTAATGTGGTTTGACTTAAGTACTATGCTAAAACCAGCAGAAATGATCATATGGCGGAAACTTTACTATTTTATTGTCCCTGGAGTACCTAAAACAACAATTCACTTTTGGGGCGGAAAAATATAGGCCAACCGTGTGGATGGATGCAATGATCAATGGAAGAAGAACAGTAGAGTAAGTAATTAAGAACAAAACCTGTCACAGCAAAGGTTCCACCTAGCACAGCACATAGCCGAGTAATAAAATGGAGAAAACTCCGGCGCTCTTCCTTGATAGTGACAGTAATGGGTGATAGATCATACAAAAAGTAGACAGCTGCATGCAAAGTATAAATGGAAAACAATAATGAAGATCTAGACCAAAACATTAACAAAGCCAATGTTAAATATATAAAACGAACCTGGCCAAGTCCGATCATACTGATTAATTGGTGAATAATATTCTGATACTGAGAACTGATTAGTTGGTAGAACTTCTTTTGAGATATATCTATATTCGGTTGGAACAACCTGCATCAGTTTAGGAAATTTATGAATTTTACCAAAATAGATGCTGGAATTAAAAATTACAGTCACTAAATTATACTAAAGGTTAAGGGCTATGTGATTATTAATACCCTCAATTCTGACTTCAGGAGTTGCTAGTTTTTCCAGCAGATTAAAGGAAGAGAAGTTGGGCATTCAAAGTAATATTTACTTAATTGTGGCTGATAAGAAAGAAGTCTGACCAGTACTATAAATTGAGGATATATAAACCAGACTTTAAATCCGAGAGAGTGATTGTATTGAGCATTCTACAAAGAGCAACTCTGCTAAAAACCAAAATCATAAACTGATGCTAGATTTCAATATAAACAAATTACTTAAGGCATATTACCTTATGTAATTATGTTAATTAGAGTACCTTTATATTCTTGCATTTATTTATAATTACCATTGCATTTATGATTCTTAATATAAATATTTTCTCTGCTGTGAAATTTAAACATGGAACTCACCCCCAAGAATCTCGCTATTTTCTTTAACAAAATAAAGAATATGTTGGTTTTTATACAAGTTAAATTTCTATTTGACTCAAAATCCGGAAGACAAGACCAAAATTTAGAAAAATAGAAATCCAGCTCTTTCCAGCAAAAATTCCACGTTGTTTGTACATTTACAGGCTAGAATCACCAAACCAGGTTCTATAATATGCATCCAACCTTGCTATTCCACTTGGGTTGAATTCTTTCAGATCTTGGTGTTGTCTTTGCCTTTTTATGAGTTCTACTGGTAGGGAATGGTAAGCTTAAAGTTCAATTGTGTTGGTACATGCTAGTGTATATTGGACACTTGCACTTCAACCAAAACATTACAAGTGTTCTCCCTTTCTGTGCACTCAGACTCTTAGGCCTTTCTGTGCACTTGATTGATAGATGTTAAGTTTTTATTTCCACAAATTAGTAACAGACAATCTGTTAGGAACACAGAACTGAAAAGAGAAAGAAGAGTAATATTTTTACTGTATAGACTAAAAAGAAAACAAAATAGGAGAGCACTCTCTCCTCCAAGGGTTTCTCCTTCACAAAGAGCTAAAACTCAATCTATAAGGTGTCTCGGGGATGGGCAGAGGAAGACCACCCAAGGATGCTGTAACGACATCTCGTTGGTCCTGGAAGGAGTGGAAGTTATGGTGAAATTCTCCCTATTCGAGCTAGGAGGGGTAGATCTCATATTGGTTAAAATAAACTTGGGAAATCTGACAATAAAATTTGGACAGAAAGATGAGGAGGTGTTGATCAAGGAGGACTCTACCTTAACCAAAAAGGTGGTATCCCCAGAGGCATTGTTGAAGGAAACGGAGATAGAGGTGGTTACCTTGATCTTGGGTTGGGTCGGACAGAATTAGAAGATTGAGGTGAGGGAATGGCGTAGCTGACCCACGATCAGGCTGAAGATTTGGAGTAAATCCTAGGCAAGTTTGAGGGGATTTTCAGGGAACCCGAGGGACTTCAGGGAACCCCAAGGACTTCCTTCGGTCAGACTTTTAGACCACAAAATACCCAGAAAGGAAGGAATAGATCCAGTCAATGTGAGACCTTACAAATATCCGCACTTGATGAAGACTAAGATAGAGAAGCAAGTGGCCGAAATGTTAGAAATGGGCATCATCAAGCCTAGCAACAACCCTTACTCCAGCCTTGTGATTTTGGTGAAGAAAAGGAATGGCAACCGGAGATTCTATATTGATTACAGAGATCTCAACAAGGCTACACTTGAGAATTAAACTGTAAAATAATTCTAGAGGGCTTGATTGATCCCTCTCACAATCTTCTATTTATAAGAATAAATTGATACAAAAGTACATGATAAATAGGGTAACCCTAGACACAATATAATCATGATAAATAGGGTAACTCTTGACACAATATAATCATGATAAATAGGGTAACCGTTGACACAATATAATCATGATAAAATAGGATAAATATCCTAACACTTCCCCTCAAGCTGGAGCATACAAATTGCATGTATCAAGCTTGGAACAAATAAACTCAATCCGAGGACCCCTTAATGACTTGGTCAATACATCTGCGAGTTGATCGTTTGACCCAATAAACTCAGTACATATTTCTTTAGTCAACAACTTTTCACGAACAAAATGACAATCAATTTTTATATGTTTAGTCCTCTCGTAAAACACTGGATTTGATGCAATGTGGAGAGCAGCTTGATTGTCGCAATTCATCTTCATAGTATGGATGTCACAAAATTTAACCTCTTGAAGGAATTGTTTCACCCATATAAGTTCACATGTTAGTGATGCCATTGCCCTATACTCAGCTTCTGCGGTTGATCAAGCTACTACCTTTTGTTTCTTACTTTTCCATGAAGTAATGTTTCCTCCTAGAAAAACACAATATCCTGTAGTAGACCGTCTATCAATAGGTGAACCTGCCCAATCTGCATCACAATACCCAGAGACTTGAATGCTTCCTTTATCTTCATATAATGATCCTTGCCCGGGAGCCTTCTATACTTACCTTAGAATGCGAATGAGAGCATTCCAAATGGAGCCTGCATGAACTGACTAACCACTCCAACTGCAAAGGATAGATCTGGCCTTGTAATAGTGAGATAAATCAGTTTTCCAACCAGCCTCCTATACCTCTCTGGATCGGAGAATAATTCACCTTCTTCTGTCCTTAATTTCTGGTTTGGGTCCATGGGACTATATACCGGTCTACAATCAATCATGCATGTTTCTTCTAATATATCAAGAGCATACTTCCTTTGGGAGATTACAACTCCATCTTTTGTTGCGCTACTTCAATGCCTAAGAAGTATTTGAGACTTCCAAGATCCTTGGTTTGAAAATGTCTACACAAGTACTCTTTTTAGTTGAGATATTCCAACAGCATCATTTCCTGTAATGACAATATCATCAACATATACTATTAAGTAAACACATTTCCCAGAGAGAAGAATGACAGTAAAAAACTAAATGGTCTGCGCCCAAATTTTTGAACAATGGAGCTAAACTTTCCAAACCAAGCACGTGGGGATTGCTTGAGGCCATATAGAGATCGATGCAATTTGCATACCATACCAGACTCGCCCTGAGCAACAAACCCAGGAGGTTGCTCCTCAAGATCACCATGTAGGAAGGCATTCTTGATATCCAATTGATGAAGTGGCTAGTGACGAATGGCTGTCATGGCAAAGAAGAGGCGAATAGTAGTCATCTTGGCTATAGGAGAGAAAGTGTCACAATAATCAAGACCATAAACCTGAGTGTAATCTTTTGCAACAAGCCGAGCTTTGAGCCGATCAATTTCACCACCAGGGCCGACATTAACTGCATACACCCATCGACAACCAACTGTCCTTTTTGCCTGGGGGAAGGGGCATCAGCTCCCAAGTATTACTGTGGTCAAGAGCTTACATTTCTGCAATCATAGCTTGTCGCCATCCAGGATGATCAAGTGCTTCTTTCACATTCTTGGGTATAACAACACTGAGGATAAAAGAGAAAAATAGGAGGGCAACAATCGATGATAGCTTAGAAAATTATAAATGGAATGAGGGTTTCAAGTGGAGCGAGTACCTTTTCTAAGGGCAATAGGCCATGCTAAATCATTTTCACCTGGAGGCATGGGAGGAGGTGACGAGGGAGAAGAATCTGAAGTAGGAGATTCACCATTGTCTTGGGGAGGTGGACTATCCATTGGGGCCCTGTGTGAGATGATCTCAATATGTGGAGAAATGGGTGTAGAAGGATTGTGATCAAGACTTGGAATGACAGAGACAGTGGAGCTATTTGACTCAGCCATTAGAATAGAAGAACCTGCTGAAGGATAGAAACATCCTAAACAGATGGAGAGAAGTAAGGAGTATGTTCAAAGAATGTGACATTGGCAGACATGTAATACTTCTTAATTTCAGGAGAGTAACACCGATATCCTTTTTGAAGTCGAGAATAGCCTAAGAAGACACATTTGAGAGCACGAACGGAGAGTTTGTCTAGACTTGGAGACATGTCATGAACAAAACATACACAGCCAAACACTCGGGGAGATGTAAGAAAGAGAAGATCATTAGGAAACAAAATGGAGAAAGGGACTTTATTATCAAGAGAGGAGGAGAGCATCCTATTAATAAGATAACATGCAGTTAAGATGGCATCCCCCAGAGATGGACAGGAATATGGGCACCAAACAAAAGGGTACGAGCAGTTTCAACCAAGTGTATATTTTTTCGTTCTGCTATACCATTTTGCTACGGTGTATGAGGACAAGTAGACTAATGTAACATACCATGGGAACTCAAGATGGCAGAAAAGGAGGATGAAAAATACTCTTTTGCATTATCACTTCTTAATATTTTGATTACTTGACCAAATTGATTCTTAATTTCATTCAAAAAAGAGGTAAAGATAGCTAATAATTCAGAACGATTTTTCATAAGATAAACCCAAGTACATCTTGAATATTCATCAATAAAGGTAACAAAATATCTAAAACCAAAGGAGGAGATACGACTAGGTCCCCATATATCAGAATGGATGATGGAAAAACTAGAATTATATATTGATTGAGACCTTTTAGGAAGAAAGATCTAACATGTTTTCCTAATTGACATGACTCACATTCTAAGGTTTGGAGACCACTAACTTCAGGACACATCTTTTTTAATTTGGACAAATGAGGATGGCCAAGTCGATCATGTAGCACTTTAGGATTAGGAGCAACAACACAAGACACCCTTGGACGAGATCCAAAATGGTATAATGCGCCAGCTTTATATCCTTCTCCAATCTGTCTCCCCAAACCACGCTCCTGTATAACAAAAGATTTATGATCAAAGGTTATTGAACAATTTAACATTTTGGTCAACTAGCTTAGGGAAATTAAACTAAAAGAACAATTAGGGACAAAAAAGACTGAGTTGAAATTGAGGGAGGGAGACAAAGAAACATGACCGACTCCTTTGGAGGAAGTTTTAGATCCATTTGCAAGGGTTATAAAATG